TTGGGCATTCGATGCAAGAGGCCGCTAGAAGCCCGCTCTCCTCTAGGTACGGGATATCTGGCGCACGTCTGCAAACGAAAGCCAGGAGTGGCAGAAAAGCTGGGGGGGCAAGAGTTGCGGGTTCCAGGGCTGGAGAGCTAAGGGAGACCGAGACGAGCTTGCCAGCTGGATTTGCGCCGCGGTCCTGAGCAGCCGGAGTAACCAAGAGTAATGAAACGAGCAATTCTTTGAAAACTAGGGTGCCGTTTTTTCTTTTCTTTAGTGAAATCGATTTGTCCACAGTGGCAACAAGAAAATGCCGTCAAAAAGCCCAAGTGTCTTGCCTGATGGCCAGGGGAAAGAATTCATTTGACCTTTGTGGGTTTCATGTTGCAAGCCAGCCACGATCAGCTGCCAGCGATGCCCAGAGAGCACGGTGGCTGTTTAATTAGGCGGGAGGTTGTCTTTGGTAATGACTATCGAGTGCTGGGTGCTGGACGAGGAAGGGTTCTGGCCTTTCTGGCTGATTTGGTCTTTGGGGATGTACTTCACCACGGCTGAGATGAGTTTGCTGCGGAAGCTCTTGCTCAGGAAATTGTAGAGGATGGGGTTGGCCACGCAGTGGAGCAGGCTGAAGCAGTCTATGATGTCAAAGAAGAAATAGAGGAAGTTGGCACCACTGCAGCCGAAAATGAAGTGGCTGCCATCGAGGGTCAGCAGAGTCAACACAATGTGATAGGGCAGCCAGCACACCAGGAAGACGACGATGTAGGCGTAGATCAGCAGGCAGTGCTTCCTGCTCTCCGGCTTGGAGCGCCGGAGGTGGCAGGCCGTTAGAATGTTGAAGACAGCGATGATGGAGAAGGGGATGAGGAACCCAAAGATGGTGGTGGCTAAACTGATGGCCAGAGCCCACTCATCATAGGTCTCGAAGGGGGCCAGGAAGATGCACATAGGCTCGAAGGGGTCCACCAGTTGCGTGTAGGCCACCTCCAGGAAGGGGAGGAGGGCGGCGAAGACCCACACGCCACAGCAGAGGAGGCGGCGCACCCGGTGCTGGTGCTGGTGCCAGAAGTGGGATGAGGTGGCCAAGGAGACATAGCGGTCCACGCTGAGGCAGCTCAGGAAGAAGATGCTGCTGTACATGTTGGCGAAGTAGAAGTAGTGGGTGAAACGGCACAGGAAGCTCCCCCAGAGCCAAGTGTAGTCGAGCATGGCCTCCAGCATCCAGACGGGCAGGGAGAGCAGCACCCCTAAGTCGGCGACAGCCATGTTGAGGATGTAGAGGTTGACCAGGTTCTTGCGGCCCCAGGTGTGCCAGTTGACCCAGATGACGAGGAGGTTTTCCACCAGCCCCACCACGAAGATGGCCAGGTAGAGGATGAAGAGCATCACCCGCTTGGTGTTCTCATCCAGATGGGTGTCGCAGGAGGTGAAGGTGTAGTTCAGGTACTGGAGCAGCTGGGTCCAGTTGTGATAGTCCCCAAACTCGTTAAAGGGGTCGGGCGTCTCCGCGGGGACCGTGGTCACCTCGGCCATTCTGGAGGGCGAGCGGCTGGAAAGAAAAGGAAGGGAAAGAAACTGCTGGGGTTTGTCCACAGAGGAACACGTAGGGGCTTGCACATGACACCCCCTACGCGCACACACACAAGCAGACACACACACACACAAGCAGACACACACACACAAGCAGACACGCACACACACACAAGCAGACACACACACACAAGCAGACACAGACACACACACAAGCAGACACAGACACACAAGCAGACAGACACACAAGCAGACACAGACACAAGCAGATACACACACACACACACACAAGCAGACAGACACAGACACACACACAAGCAGACACAGACACAAGCAGACACAGACACACACACAAGCAGATCACCCAACCTCGACTGTTGCCCCGACTTGGTCAAATTGGTGCCTGCTGTAGAGAAGAACAACACACTTGCGATTAGGGTACTGGGCCAGGTCTAAGGGCACCTCGCTTCTGATACAGCTACACTGCACAGCCGCAGCCGGCCCCAGTCAGCAGAACAATGTCCGTGAAGGCTTCTTCCTGCTGGGCAGACCTTGTGCCAGTCAGTCATGGGCAGATGGTCAAAGAAGCGCAGCCAATTCGGTTTAGTTTGCCAAAAAGATCCCGAAGTGACTGTGTCGGGGAACTTTCTTGGGGGAGAAAATGTGGGTCCCTTGAACCCACGGGAGAAAGAACAAGCAGCAATCACTTGTTGCCAAGCGAAAGAAATTCCCATGAGAAATAAAACAGATTTTTTTTGTTTTGTTACCATGAGGGTGATTAACTGTGGGAACAGACTCCCGCAGGATGCGGTCGATTCTGCATCTCCGGAGGCCTTTGAGTCTGGACTACGTGCCCCTCTGGAGATGCACGAGTTACGGGGTTCAAAACAGGCAAAACCTACACAGCAGCTCGGAGGAGATGTTCTCAGGCTGAAACTTGAGCAATCTCTCTAGAACCATCCCTCCGGGGGCACCCCCTATTTAGACACCGAAAGGACCCGCTTTCCAGAGCTGTCCATGTCTCCGTGGCTGCTGCCGGATTCGGAGGGAGACAAAATGTGATGCGAAACCTGTAGCTGGAAATTGGGGGGCAGTTTTCTGACCTTGTGTCTCCCTCTGCCTCACAGACGGTCCCTGCAGTCGAGATGAGCTGATGTACCCCCAGCAGACTCTGCGCACCCCTGCTGAGAACCGCAGCTGTAAGCAATCCCATTCCTGGGACAGCCGCGCTAAGACTGCCTGGGGAGAATCTAGCTTCAAGCAAACAGCGCAGCTTTCATTTCACACACAGTCCACAGGGCAAGAAAGGGGCTCGGAGCCTGGCTGAACAAAACCGGGACAGCTGGAACCCAGAGAGGGCTGAAACTGACCTCCCACCTCGGCTAACTCCGCCAGCAACTTTGCAAAAACGCAGAGGTGAAAATCAGCCGGTGCGCAGCTCCAGCAAGAACTGGCTGAGCTGTGGCAAAAGCCAGCAGGGAGCCATTTAAAGAGCTGGCAGGGACCCAGGTTGTGATAGGACAGGACCTCTAAGAAATTGCAAGTTACTTTCTGTAAGGGAACCTGGACAGTCCTCCCATGACCAGAACATCATCTGCAGTGCTAGGCCTCATCCCAGCCTTGGATCTCTAACAAACCACCTTTGGTCTGATTCAATCATGGGCATGCACACATGCATGCTTGCAAACCGGGCCAAAAAGGGTGGGGGAAAGTCAGGAGTGCTTGCCCAATTATGCACAACTTGTTCAGGACAGCGAGACCAGGCCAAGAAACAACCTGGTCTAGTACATCCCGTTTTCGATAAGAGAAAAATTCCAGAGACAGCCCAAAAAACCCTATTAATTGAGCACTTTTGCCATTTTTTGGCACAGCAAAATGTATCCTAGCTATTGGCATAGTAGGTATCTTACGTAAAATGTACCGTAAAATCGCGAGTATAACGTGCACTTCCCCCCCCGGTTTTTAAGGGTTAAAGCCGGGGTGCGCATTATACATAGGAGGTTATCTGTAAAGTTTTTAACTCACCCTCCCCGCCAGGTTCCCAGACAAGGCACGGCACGTGGACAGCTGGCCAGGGGGCCCCCACGGCAGGCGCAAGCTCAGCCAGGCTTCCGGACAAGGCGAGGAGCGCCCTGGCTCACTGCCTGCCCAGTCTGGGGGCAGACAGCTGGGCGGGGGGAGGGAAGGGCAAGGGGTCCCGCGGCAGGAGCAGCTCCCCGGTGCTAGGCGCGCGTTTCCCGTCGAGCCTGCAGGTGGGAGCGGCCCCTTCCTTCCTATATAGACACCGTAAAATCGCAAGTATAACGGGGGTGCGCATTATAGATAAGAGTTCAGTGTATTCCGGGACTCTGGCGTTTAAAAGGTAGGTGTGCATTATGCATAGGTGCGCATTATACGTGAGATTTTACGGTAGCTGATTGGTAGATGTGACTAGCATGACCAAGCCTCGCTTTGCTATAAATTGGGTTTAATAAGAACAATCAGTGAGGGAATAAGCAGGATTAACTCACAGGTCCTGCTTTCGATATAACAAGAAGGAATGGATCCCTTCGCACCCGCGAGCCCAGTGCCTGGTGTTCCGACGTGTGGGAAACAAAGGAACCACAAAGGGTATGTCTATACTACCACCCTAGTTCAAACTAGGGTGGTTAATGGAGTCATTCGAAGTTGCAAATGAAGCCTGGGATTTAAATATCCCAGGCTTCATTTGCATCTTGCCAGGCGCCGCCATTTCTAAATCCCCCTTAGTGCGGTCTCCGTGCCCGCGGCTACACACGGCACAGAGTAGGTAGTTCGAATTAGGCTTTCTAATTCGAACTACCGGTACACCCCGTTCCACGAGGAGTAATGGTAATTCGAATTAGCCTAATTCGAACTACCTACTCCGTGCCGCGTGTAGCCACAGGCACAGAGTCCGCACTAACGGGGATTTAAAAATGGCAGAGCCCGGCAAGATGCAAATGAAGCCTGGGATATTTAAATCCCGGGCTTCATGTGCAACTTCGAATGACTACATTAACCACCCTACTTCGAACTAGGGTGGTAGTATAGACATACCCTATGTGATCTAGGCTTAATTATTGTATTATAATAATCTTCTATGACTTGCTTTGCATCATATTCATTGCTTTAGATTTTAAACCTTAAATATTTTAAATTGTATAGTAATTGTTTGTAAGGCTTGTAAAACGTAAATAACGATGTTAACTGTTTAAAGCTTGCAATAAATAACACAATGGGTAAGTCTCTCTGGAGTGTTCTGGTTTCCCTTGGATCTAAAAACCAAACCACACAACACTTTCACCCCTTGCAAAAATGAGAAAGAGGCTTTGCCAGCCTCGGATCTGGAACATGTGTCGGCCAGGAGAGGGTCGATCCAAGTCCGCCACAGCCAGCAAACAGCTCCCCATTCGGCCAGTCCCTCGCTACAGCACTGTAGTCGGCTGGAAATCGGCAGTGAATGAACCGGGAGGAGGTCTGTGTGAACCCGACCCTGGCAAGTGTTCCGGATGGTGGGTGCACCTCGCTCTGAATTCGACTCATAGACTTTAAGGTCAGAAGGGACCATTATGATCATCTAGTCTGACCCCCTGCACAGTGCAGGCCACAAAATCTCACCCACCCCTCCTAGAATAATCCTCTCACCTATGTCTCAGATATTGAAGCCTTCAAATACTTTGAAGACCCCAAGATGCAGAGAATCCTCTAGCTGTGACCTGTGCCCCATGCTACAGAGGAAGGCGAAAAACCTCCAGGGCCTCTGCCAATCTACCCTGGAGGAAAATTCCTTCCCGACCCCAAATATGGTGATCAGCTGAACCTTGAGCATGTGGGCAAGATTCACCAGCCAGACACCCAGAAAGTTCTCTGTAGTAACTCCTATCATTTTGCATGGTATTGTTACTACTTGTTCTTCTAAGGGCTCCTTGCCAGGCAAACATGAGCTCCCCCCTCTGAAAACCCAGCGGCATACGCAGAAGACCGATTTCCACTAGTATGAGCCCAACGCTGTAGCCCGTCTCAGCGCTGCTGTCCCAGGAATGGGGTCACTTAACCCAGTGGTTCTCACCAGGGGGGTAGAGCATCTCATCTAGACACTGGCCTCGTTTCACCCCAAGCACATAAAAAGCACCAGCGAAGTCAGTACAGAAGAACATTTCCTACAATGACTGGTTTGTGCTGCGCTGGGTATTCTGCTGTGAAATGTAAGGACAAGATTTCCATGCTGGGGATTTCGTTGTTATGGCAAAAAGGAGAAAAACGGGCTGTTTCTCAGGGTCACCTGTTTTTCGATCTGATTTTGCAAGCACGCTGTGTTTAAGTGAGGTGAAATTTGGGGGTGCGCAAAACAAATCAGACTCCTGAAAAAGGTGCAGGAGTCCGGAATCGTTGAGCGTCATTGGCTTAACGAACTAGGGGCCCGATCTGTAGCTGGTGGAAAATGGTGTAACACCGTTCCTGTTAGCTGCGGCTCTGACCCTGTCTAGCTGGAGCCTGCCCGTGGGTTCCAGAATCTGATCTTTGATTGAGCTTTGAGCCACTGGCGGTGGATTAGTATAAAACATTAAGCCCTGGTCTACACTAGGGAGTTATTTCGAAATAACCCCCCTTAAGTCGAATTTATAAGCAGAGCGTCCGCACGACCAAGCCCGTTATTTCGAAAGAACTGGCAGGTTATTTCGAAGTCTGGGCGCCTGCTTTCCTCGAGGAATAACGCTCATTTCGGAATAGTTATCTCGAAAGCGCAGTCGTGCGGACGCTTCGGTGCCGCTATTTCGAAATAACGATTCCCCAGAGTAATTCAGAGTCATTACTCCCCAGTGCTTCCTGGGGCTCTACGTCTGAGCCGAATTCACGGAGCCTGCCTCGGACTCACTTGAGGCTTCCCCATAGCATGGACAGGCGACTTCGATTTTATGTCGGGAGTTGTTAAATCGATTTCCGTTATTTCAAAATCGTTTCCTAGTGTAGAAGCACCCTAAGATTGTTAATGATGCTCAAGACCCCCACTATATCCCTGGGTCCAAAGCAACCGGTGTGCCTTTCCGCTCCCCCTTTTGTGGCTCCAAATGGGCCCCCCAAATCTCACCCCATGGATCTTCTTTGCTGCTCCCTTTCCCACAGGGATCACCCTCAGGGCCACGCGTGGTCATTGCCCACGGGCAAGGGAGGACCTTCACCTCCACTACGACCAGAACCGCCAACTAATTAAGAGGAATGGCCAACCACTTGGTTGCAGGCTGCAGAAGCAACCATCAATGCAGCCGGAGGAGGAGAGGCTCGGCTGATTTTGCCAGAATGTTTGGAGAAAGGAAAAGAAGGAGATTTGCGAGGGATGGTGGAAATCGAGTCCCAACCGCTTGATGGGCAGCCAGCGGTTGCTACTGAGAAGCCCAGCAGGATACGCTGGAGGAGGAGAGAGACAGACAGGTGGAGAATGACAGGGCCGTGCTCACCTGCAGCGAACGGTGGATGGCAAGCCCAGGTGGAGGGCGAAGAAGCAGCTGTTACCCCGATGCCTCCAGCTCCGTGGCTCCGGCAGCTCTGAGCTGGAGGGACGGTCGGTCTGGGAATGAGCAGAGGGTGGGCTCATTGGCTTCTTCCACCCCCCACTCCCCACCCTCCCACTCCTCGTCCCTGCAGGAAACGCACATCAGCGCCTGATATCCTGAAAACGCAGCGCAAGGCCACTTTCAGCACGATTTCCAGTCCCTGGGCTCTAGCTCAGCTTGAAGGAAGATGGGCTTGGCTTCCCTGGGGGGGGCGGGGAGGAAGATTTGGGGGGCAGGCAGGGCATGAAAGCAGAGTAGGCCAGCAGGAACAGCCAGCCAGCGAAAAGGATCCCTGTGGCTGCAGTCTGTGATCATTCATTTTCTTTGCCATACAGCACCTCAGAAATCCACTAGGTCCCTCCACCAGCTTTTACCCAGCTTGGCTATTGCACCCCGCCCCCCGATTATTACTCGGGTCACGGCAGGGCTCTCACATTTCCAGGCAGAGAGGAAAGCTGCCCTTCCTGGGTTAATCTATCACCGGGAATCGAGACCGGACGAAGGCAGAGATGCGATGGACTCTTGCCTGCCGCCCCTCCGGTGGTGGGAGGCTGCAGACCCTCAGTTTCCCTTTTTTAAAAATACTTTCTAGCCCTCCGGATTGCCACGAAAATCGCAGCAGAGAGCGTAACCCGAGTGTGCTGAAAGCCTGAGCCAGTACCGCTGAGAGGCGGTATCTCTGGGGCAGGGGCATTCTTTCTAAGACCCACTTCTCTGGGGCACAGATCGGGGGTGCGGAGGCTACATCTGGGGAGGGAGTAGAGGCCCTGTGCCTCTCTGTATGGCAGAGCCTACAGCAATGGGAGGATATGGCGCCCTTTTGTTTCCTTGGCTCTAACTCTCTCTGGGGATGTCTATTCGTTCATCACACTAACAGTGAATCCCCTGAGTACATTCACTAATTTATCCCCAAGCTGCCCACAGGAGGAGGGGATGTGTTACCCCCACCTTGTGTAGGGAGGGCAGGCACGGCTACGAATTGGCATGTAACTGGGAATGAGACAGCTACCAAGGGGCAAAGTTACCGACAGGGTCCCTTCCTTCCAAAGTCTCTCTGAAAGTGTTACCGATCTGTGGCTTTTCGTGAGTATCCACAGAGCCCTTACAGCTCAACAGCTTCCTCCACCAGTCCAATGCAGCCTCTTCTGGTGCGCAGCGCAGCCAATGCCCCGGGCCCGTTTAGGACAGGAAGTGGAGAATAAGCTACCCCGTGGAAACTTGGCAGGACTGTTCGTGGAGCCAACTGGAGGCCCCCCGTCTCCGGGCCTCCGTCTTGCAAATTATAATCCTACACATTTGGCTGTTTTTCAGGTCCGGCCGTCTCCAGGTGGCCAAGCACCGGGCCAGAGG